AAAGAATGAAATCTTGCCTGACTATAAGTTAGCTCTTGCACTTTAATATAGCCATATGATAATTTCCAGGGCTTTTTTTGTCATAGAATGCACCGGAACAGAGTTCCGGCACCTTTTTTCGATGGATTTTCCAGAGTTGTGTTCTTTTCCTATTGTTTCCCTTCCTATCCTCGTTTGTTTTTGAAAATGCCCCGCTGGCGGCACGGTGCAAGCAGGATCCCCTCCACCGCTGTCTGGCTCTAGGAGGAGCCATGAGGTGCTAGAGCACCACAGCCAGAGTGTGACTTAATTGGCTGGGTCAGACCATGTGGTATGGAAGCTGATAGTGGGAGTGGGAGACACATAAACATGGAGGCCACCTTTCACGAGAGGGTGAGTGAACTTTTTGCCCTCCCTTACAGGTGTGATGTGAGGTTAAAAAGAGGCAAAGCGAGAAGAAAGAAAGGCGGCTGGCGTGGAAGCTTGCCCAACAGCGAAACTTTGCTGTTTCAGTTCCTTGAGTAGTTCAAAGGCTGGGATGTCTACAAAAATCTCTTTTTAGTCTTTTATATTTTATATTCAAACTGCAGAGGGGAAGAATAAGAATAAAGCCAATGTCTTGTGATTTGGATGTATTATTATTAATAATAATATATATTAATGATGTATTGGTCAGATGTAAAGGTAGACCTACAGTATGAGGTTTCATCAGATCTATTTATTAAATTGGGTTTAATTTAAAAGTAAATTAAAATTAATCTATTCACTAACAAAGTTTCAACTTTAATTGACTTTAATCAAGTCAATATCCATATTAAATTCCAAATATAAATTTTTCCACCTTGTTTGACAACTTCTTAAAAATAATTCAATCTTTTACAAGCAAATAAATTTTGTTTTATTGGGCCAATTTCACTCCACATAAAAAGCTGACATTTCCGCTCATTAAACTAAATGGGTATGCCAGTGGTAAATGTCCCAAAACATTTAAAAAATGCCTTCTTGTAATTTAAAGCCACACAGTGCATGGCAACATTAATAGTATTAACTTGAACAAAATCCTAGTCTTTTAGATACACTAAAAATTGAAGGGCGTTTTTTTCCAACTACAAAGATAAACCTTGTAGGGTAGGCAAGGCAGGTTGTATGACGTATGTGAGTTCCGGCACTATTTTTCTTTTTTTTTTTTTTTACAAAAAAAGCACTGACAATTTCTACTAGTCAGGTAATATTACCGCTTTTCAAACCTGTTAAAAGAGACACACCTAACAATTAGCCAGAAACAATAATTTTGGAGGAGACTGGTAAGAGATTGAATATGCTGACCAAATATTGATTCTGGAATTCATTTCCTCAACTGGTCCAAAAGAACAAAAGTTTGTTGACCCTCAGGACAAGCCTTATCAATGTACATTTTCCTTGGAGGTGTGTGGAAATAGCCTGAATTTCAGGAAGAGGATTAGTACTCTTTAATACTAAGCCAATTGGTTAATTGTTCACTTCTAATAATGCACAGTGCAAAACTGTGTAATGCTACTCATGTAATAATGTTCTGATAAGAACAGAACAAATGCAGTCAGCAAGATCTTCCCTAGACAGGATGCCTTCCAAACATGAAGAGCCTACAGATCATAAAATTGACTTCAGTCGATCTGGTCAACTATCAGTCATGTTATATGAGAATTATGGAAGCTACAGTTTTAACATGTTTAGAGGGGACCAGTTTAGAGAAGGCTAGGCTAAAAATACAACTTGAGATGGGCTAATAATATTTGCCCATCAGCAAAACAAAATAAAACATCAAGTTACAAATGTTTTCTATCCACAGCTAAGCTAAGAAAGTGTAGGCATTTTTCAGTAACTATACACAGAATATTAAATGCAGAGCACAACACAAATATAAAACAGTGCATATCTATTGCTGCATGTGCCAGGTAGTAGTAAAAACTGACATCAATTTCCCAGTGTGTGTGTGTGAGTGCATGCACACATTCTGTGACATATGGTGACTTTGCGCCACTTACCCTGTCTCAGCTCAGTCCACCTCACTGGACTGTTGTGAAGTAAGAGAGAAGTGTATTATGTATTTTCGCCACCTTACTTTACTTATAAACCATAATAAATGTGGGATAAAAATCTAATTATAGATAGTAACAAAAAGAAAAAAACATCAGCAATGTATCAGTATCACTTCATTTCCTATTACTTAATAACTGAAATTAACTCAAGGATGGTAAGATGAGCTTGGATATAGGAAATCAGCTCCAGATAGATCTTCCATTTCCTATTGTGATTATTGGCTATCTTGCAGAATTACTCTAATGATAAAATATGATTCCATACTTTCTTAAGAAGTTGAATACAGAATCCAACTGTATTCTCTTAAAATAATTTTATTTAGAAGACACATGGGAAAAAAATGAAGATAAAAAGACAAACCATGAAGAAAATGTTCTTGATAACATTATATGAGTGATTTGTTATTATCTTCTTCCATGATGGTGTTGGGTATTTTTGGGGAGGGGGCGACTTTCTGGTTTACTCTGCTGCCCCCAATATTTTCCAACTCAAGTACTAACTAGATTGAATTCTACTTAGCTTTTTGGATCTGTCAAAGTTGACTAGCATTCAAATTAAGCATAAATTAAAAAAACACAATTAAATAGATCAAGCATAGACTAATGTAGCATAACCTAGTGAATTTGCAATGTAAGTTAAAAGAATAAACAAGAATTCAAAAATAGAGAAGCATTTTATGTAAAATATTCATATGGAGGCAGAAAAATTAAAGTGCCAATAGTGGAATAGATAAAAAGGAATTGGTAAGCCAGGACTAAAAGTGAATTGACAAAACCTTGGGGTTTTATGCTACTTCAGCTCTTCAAGAATTACCTGAAGAATGAATGCCAAATCCAATTTTTTTCTGAAAGATTTATTTTCCACAAAATATTCTGTGTCCTCATATTTCTTTATAACAATAGTAATGGGTATCCCTAGCTTATAAGAGAGACCACAGGGAAATATAACTGGCTATTGGCATCAGCCATTTTCAATTCCTAGTGACCATATAGATTTTCTCCATGATGATCTATCCCTAACCTATTCTTTCAAGTCTTCAAGTATAATAATAGCATTTAAGTATCCTAAGATATGACACATAAAAGAAGGAATAAGCTTATCTTCTTGAAGAATATAGATTAAAACTGCAAGGAATTACATTCATGCTCGATATAAAGAGGAGCTTTTTGACTGTACAGTGCCAGCCTTTGGAACAGATTGAACCCTTGAAATGGTGAATTCTTTCCTAGAGTTCTTCAACGAAGTCTGATGGTCATTTGTCCAACATTCCTGGTAGATCCTGTACTGAATAGGACATCGGATTAGTTGACTCTCATTGTCTCTTTCAGTTCTATTACTCCATGACTATGAGACAACATAATGAATATAATAGAGTAAGTGCTTTTGTTAATCAAAAAGTGAAAAAGAATAAATTAAATGAACAATTCTTGACTTAATGTGACTGATAATACAACAACCATATAAATTAAACTTAAGAAAAATAAGCCTATTTAACTATATTCATGTTAATTTAATTAAATAGCTTTATTTATTCTTTTACTTGCTTTCACAACAACTATCACACTATTCAGAAAAACCACTGTTACGGTTCTTGATTGCTTTTACTGTGGAGGAACATATGTAATAAGCTTTGTCTATGCAATTATTAATGAACACCCCCAGCATTTTTAAGGTCACAGCTAGATCACAGATGGCAACATAATGGGATATGGAGCAAATAAATGTTCCCAAGTAAATTTAGAACAGTTCAAGGAGGAAATGTTAAGCACATATATTTAAAAATAAAGAACTACAGTTCCATTCCCTATACTTAGGAACAATGTACAACAAATCTAGTGAATTTTAAACTATTTTTAAATATTGTTCAATGCATGTTCTTTTAATCTTGTAAGTGGGTTTTTCCAAGTGAAATTAGTTGAGAAGGAAAAACTTTCACATTATTTGTAATTTTGCTTGATGACACTCCACTAAATTTTTCCTAGTCACATGATCAGTGGAAAACAACATTTGCTGAGAAGCAGCAAGAAAGTTAGGTAATCATGAAACCAATGTTTTTTAAACATTATTCAGTCCTTTTCATAAACAAGACTGTCACCACAAAGAGAAAAACAGTTTAAAGCTAGTAATTAAGTGTATGTAAGCTAAGTGAGTAGAGGGGATCATTAGTATGTACAGTTTCAGTAAGTTATTAGTTGCAACTTGTGACCAAAACACAGCCTTAAAAGTACATCTTGGAAATATTATATGATAATAAGTGGAGTATTTTTAAATTCAGAACTAATTTGCACATAATTCACTTGGATGATTACCCAGACATTTTGTGTATCAAATATGATCATTTTTTAAAAAAAGACTATACCAGCAATACAAAAGTACTGTTGTCCAAAACTACTGAAAAGGTGATAATATTCCAGATAGTGTACCGAGGCTATAATTTGTGGTTAAGCAGATCTGTTGATGTATAACGTAGATAGCAGCTTCCAGACTAAACATACTGGTGTATACAGGAAGCAAAAGGATTAAAGAGGCCTCTAGTAGCAACTTTTTTTTAAATAAATGCCAGCAAAATTATCCAGAGCAGTGTTCTTCGGGACGCATGCAATGTTTATTACATAAGGTTCTCCCTGATTATTTATTCAGCAGTCTCCTCCTCCCAATTAGAAGGATCACACTAATGGTAGTCTTGTCCACCATCAAGACCAGTCCACGCAGGAACGGGACGAGACTTACAGGCGACTGGAGCAGGCTGCGCTTTCCAGAAATCCTTGTCCTGGCTGCACTATTCACTTAACAGGTTCATACCCACTCTTCTTTCATTTGCCGCCCCAATTTCCACATCCTGAATGCAAAGGAGCAATCCCTATCGGGGGACGGTACTGAGAACCGTGGGGATAACATCCAAGGGAAGCAGAGGCAGGCCGACCCATCGACCTTAGGCTCACCTGGTCTCCTGGTTGCTGAACTTCTTGGTCACCACCTTCCCCAGATCCAGCCCCAGGCGATCAGCCACGCGTTGGGACAAGTCCTGATGGGAACTCCCGCTGAAGAGCACGATGTTGGGCATGACTGGGCACAGAAGGCCGAGACGAGTCGGAGCCGGGAAGAAGGGGGGGAACGAAGCCACGCGAGGGAGAGAAAGAGAGAGCGGTCGCGCGCCACAGGCCAACCAAATAACCGCGGCCCCGCCCCTTCCCTCGCGGAAAGCGCGCCAGAAGGTCGCCTTCCCCTCTGCCCGCCCCCATCGCTCTCCGGGGCCGCCGAGAGAACGGGACGGAGTGGGTGACGTTCTAGAAGGACAGGATTCAAAAGGGGAAGGAAAGGTCACATGGGGAGAATGAGCCTCGAGATAGAAAAATATGTCTATAATGTAATAATCCCAGTTTAAACTTCCTGCGTCGATGGAGTCATGCTTGAAGAACTTGTGGAAAGGAGGGTCAAATCGTATGAAAATTTACCTCGGAAAAGTGTGCAGTTTAAGAATGCAAACTTTTACATTTTTTTATCTCTATGATGAGGGGAAGGCGTTATGGATGGAAGGTCTGGGATGATGGGGAGCAAAGGTTGACGGGAAGGAGTCCAGGTCGATGGAAAAGGGATTCTGAAGAGGAGGAGAGCAGTTTGGTGTAACCTGGTTGTTCTGCTGTGTTGGGAGAATTTGTTCCATGCTGATGGACTCACATTTCTCTTATTGTTAATTAGCTCACAAGTCAGGAAATTCTGTGCAGTTAAACTGTGCTACAAGTAGACCTCAATTTACAACCATTCATTTATTGACCTTTCAAAGTTATAATGGCAGAGACTTATGACCATTTTTCACACTTACAACCATTGCAGCATCCCCATGGTCATGTGATCAAAATTCAGGGACTTGGCAACTGGCATGTATTTATGACAGTTGCACGATGATCACCATTTGTAACCTTCCCAACCGGCTTTTCAAGGATCAGACAAAAAAAAATATACCAGGAGTGTCAAACTTGCAACATCACATGACGTATCGCAACTTTTTTTCCATTGCCACCAATGGGGTGGGCGTGGTTTCACCATAATGCATCCGGCCCATGGGCTGGCAGTTTTGACATCCCTGGAATATAGGTACAGATGAGGCCCTGGGGATTAGAAGGATCAGATGTAGAGATAGGACCCAGGTGTGGGTGTAATGAACATGAGAGTGAAGAATATGAGTTCTGAGAGAAAATTTACTCTTAAACAATTAAACAACTTTTATGTCTTTCTGCTAACTAGGGGATTTCCAATACAAGCTTGTTAACTTGTCAATACTTGATAGTATTACGAGGGGGGCTGCAGGGGCAATGAAGCAAGGCAGACTTACCTGTCAGAAACCACTTAGCCAGGATGTTGGCTACATGATTAGCTCACTTACAAAAATACTTTACTTACAAGCACCCCCAAAAAAGGAAGGCGAGTGTTGGTAATCGGAGATTCTATCCTCAAAGGAATCATCCATCTGCAGACCAGACATACAATCTAGGAAGGTACGTTGTCTCCCTGGAGCAAAAATCAAAGATGTGGCTGAGAACCTAACCAAAATAATTAGGCCTACAAATTACTATCTTTTCCTCCTCCACCACATTGGGACAAATGGCACAACTAAGAACCTGAGTACAATAGTGAAAGATGATAAACAACTAGACAATAAAGTTAAGAAGCTAGGAGCACAAGTAGTGTTCTCATCAGTACTCCCAATGAAAGGCCAACACTCATTGAGGGAAAAAAGAATTTTAGAAATAAACCAGACATGTCAAACTCGTGATGTCACACAACGTATCGGGACGGTTTTGCCATTGCTGGCAATGGGGTGGGTGTGGCTTCTGGATGACGTGTCCAGCCTGCAGGCCGACAGTTTGACACCCCTGAAATAAACCATTGGCTAAAGGGTTGGTGTCACCAAGAAAACGTTGGTTTCCTGGATAATGGATTGCATTTCCTACGCAAACAACTCTTGGCAAGGGATGGGCTGCACTGCACAAAAATGGGAAAATGTACTTGGAAAAAGACTGGCCCAACTCATCAGGAGGGCTTTAAACTAAAATTGAGGGGGAAGGGTGACCAATCTTTACAATCTCTAGAACCCAAAACCAATCATAAATCCCAAGAAAACAAATCAATGAGGTAGGCAGTGATGAAAAAAAAGAATGGTTGGAAATTGATCAAAGAGAGAAGCAACCTGGAATTAAAAGGAAACTTCTTAAGGACAATTAGCCAGTGGAACAGCTTGCGTCCATCACTGGAGATTTTTAAGAAGAGGCTAGACAGTCACTTATCTGAAATGGTATAGGTCCTCCTACTTGAGCAGGGGGCTGGATTAGAAGACCTCCAAGGTCTCTTCCAGCTCTATTCTATTCTAAACCCCAAAACCACGTAGCTAGAACATGAAACTAGAAATTTTGCAAGATACTTGTGACCTGAGGTGGGCAACAGGTGGTGTGACATTTAGCTATTTTGCGTAGCAAGCGAGAAAGGTTTAGGGGGCTGCAATCCAGGTAACCAATCAATATATGTTATGCATGCGTTATTGGGGGAGGACAAAGGGGTGTATGTGATTCACCTTTGACTATAAAAACTGCTGGAAAACAAATCAGGGCCTTGGCAGTTTTCAAAGCCAGGGTCCTTATATCTTGGTACCAAAATAAAAGTATATTCTTGTTTCACACCTTGTCTTTGGTGGTCAGTTGGCTTCGACCCCAAGCTAAGGCCCAGTTTTGGGACAACAGTTTTGGTGGAGAATGCGGGTAGTTCGCTTGGATCCACTAAGGGACAGATCCAAACGGAAGGCCTCCAAATTGCATAAGTAGGTGGTTGAAAGAGGAGTGAATGATTCCTAAAGATTATATCTGGCAGGGTACCTCAGCTATGCGCCCCCTAGAGGTAGCCACCTTCTCATGAACTCGTCTGAGTTCTGACCTAGGAGGTTAAATAGCAAGGGTCTCTGGACAGGGCATGCATGCTGTTCTGGCACAGAGAAAGAGAGAAAGTGTGTGACCATTAGCCGCCTGCCTTTGGACTTGGCCCTGGAATAAGTCCTTGGACAGTGTGGGACTCAAAGGTCGAAGCCTGGAAAAATCAAGATATGGACTCCCAACTCCCTTTCTTGCATCATTGTGGAGGAAAATATTGGAATAAACCAGGCTCCCTCAGGTCACGTGGCAGGAGGTGGCCATCTGCAGGATGAGATGAGACTATTCAGGGGATGCCCCCAAGGGTTTAAGGGTGTGAAGTCTCAGGCGGAGGGAATATGACACTCCTAGGAAAACCCTTGAGAAACAATCACCAGGATGGGTAATAAAACTCCAGGAGGCAAGGCCCAAAGGGATAAAATCTCAACAAATCTAAAGGGAAAACAGTAAAAGGAGGGCCTCAGCAGTTATTACCCATGGACAGTCCCATAGGTTGTATTTTAACAAATTTCTGGGAACTAGGAAGAGGGGAATTTGGTACAAAAATTGCCCTGTCTAGGTATTGTATGTCAGTGGGGCCTCATGAAAAATTGTCATGACCAGATGACTTCTGGTCCCCACAATGGTCAGTAGATAGTCATCTGATCAGCAAATTAAGGACGGTATTGGAGAAAGGAGAGAGAGACACCAAAGCACAATACTTGGACCTATTTACCAAACTAGCCAACAGTCCTATATTACTAAAAAGAGTGTGGATGTAGGTTGGTAATGTGTGACAAGAAAAAGGGGACAACTAAGAAACCTAGTGCCCCTTCCACAATCCTTATGGAAGATCCAGAGGACGGATGGACCCCAGGAAATCTTACCCTCCAATGTCCTCCACCTTTATATCCTTGGCATGAAGTGGCTGGGGCTGAAGGGGTAGGGAGACCAGGGAGGCAAAAGAAAGAGAGATCAGTCAAGAATGACAAGCAGCCTCAGTAGGTGGGGCCAGGAGGAAAAAGACAAAGAGGTGCCTGAAGAGGCAAGTCCGGCTCTCTCAATATCGACTGGACCACACACTCTGTCCAAGGGAGCAGTCAAGCCAGAACTCCAATTATCCCTAAAGGGAGACTGTATTGGGGGGAGGGGGAACCACGAAGGGTATTGGTTTATACCCCATTCTCAACGGCTGGCCTATACAACTGGAAAAACCAAACTCCTAGTTATAGAGAGAGTCCAGACTAGATGCATGCCCTTTTTGCATCCATCTTCCAAATTCACCAACCTACTTGGGCAGACATAGAAAGTCTGATGGAAATTTTTTTTTAACTCCAGAAGAGAGGATGGTGAGGGGAATCATGAACAAGGCTCGGGAGAAGGATCATGCAACTGATGCAGACTGGACATGCCCTGTGGAGGGACCAAATTGGAAAACTCAGTCCATTTGGTTATATAACTATCAGACCTTGATATTGTTAGAACTCAAACGGGGTCCAAAAGGTTAAGAACTTGGGGATGGTCTACCAAATTCAACAGAAAAAGGATGAAAATCCAGGGAAATTCCTAGAATGCATTTATCAAACATTTAGGCAATACACTGACTTAGACCCAGAGGCTGAGGAAAATCAGAGGATGGTAAACATGATTTTTATTGGGCAATCAGCAGATGACATTAGGACCAAGTTACAGAATACTGAGGGGTGGGGTTGGAAAGGTGATTTCTGAACTTGTGGAATTGGCATACAAAGTTTGTAATAATAGGGCCCGAGAAGAAGAAAAGAAGGAAGTCAGAAGGCAAGAAGAAATGCCATACTCTTTGCCAAAGCTTTTAGACAGGAAACAGGGGGAGATAGAGATTCTTGTGGAAGAAGGAGGGCCAAGAGGGTCAGTAGATAGAACTTCAGGCCCAGCCAGAGACGAAGAAGGAGGCCGAGGGCACCCCTACCCGGGGTCTAATCAATGCTTTCATTGTGGAAAGGAAGGCCATTGGAAAAATGAGTGTCCAACAGTCTTAGCGATGGTAGATGAAGAAGACTGATAGGGCCAGGGGAGGGGAGAAATTGCCTCCCCAACCCCCAAACCCTTGGTGGAAGTTCAAATAGGGAGAAAACATAAAATGTTGCTTGATCCGGGTGCAAGTAGATCTGTTGTAATAAAATGTTAACTAGTGACAACCTTATAGTAATGGGGGCATTGGGAGCCACAGTGGAAGCTTCCTTCCTCCAGCCTCTGGAATGTAAAGTTGGCAAGACAC